CATTGACCCCCAACTCCCACACATACGCCAGGAGTTGTCCAGCTTGCATGCTTACTCAGGCAATTAGCAAAAGGAAGAAGCAAAGTGGAGAAGAAGGTGTGAGGGACCAAGGGGGAGAAGGCAATAAAGGCATTGGTAACACCAAAAAGTCAAGACACTAATCAGCATATACTGGAGACCTCATGTTTACCTTGTTGTCTCTACCCAGGAAACACTTATGCCCCATTCACTATTGGACCTATAGAGACTAAGAGAGTGCCCTTCAGCTATTCCCCACTTTAACCAGAAGCTAAGGAAGGCAGAGTTCTGTTGGAATGACATCAAAACAGGTGAAACTGAAAAATCCGTTTTAGCATGCCCCTGCAGACCCAATGCACCTGCCGCTAGATTCTGACATTTCCGGGAGGACCGATAGGGTTCACTTGCCAGGACTGACATTACTACAAGATTCAGAGATGTCTGAAGAGTTCCCCATCAGTTTAGAGAACCGCCTTTCCTATAACTGCAGAACTGTCACCTCTACATTGAAGGCTGCTCCGAGAGTATAGAGCGCCTCCGAACGTACACCATCGCGTATTCTGGTGCACCCATGAACGCTTCCATTACACCTGCCCCACTGCTTCCCTCTGCCAATCCCCACCGCAACCTCTTCATCACCCTCGAAGTGCCCGTGAGCAACAACCAGGGGCCAAGCTGTGGAAATAAATGAGAAATACAGTGCATGGCTCTGGCCTGCCCTCATGAAGCTTGCAATCTTGTTTGGAGGTGCCTCTGAGACATGGATTTCACAAGCAGTGATTAATTACATGGCCGGCAAAGTAACACAAGGGTATTAGGGTTCACAAAACGGGCAAGGCATCGGGGCTGGCACGTTGATGGCTGGCTCCCTTGGGTCTGCCTAACAAGAGTTTTTTTCTCTCCTGCTAGATATGATCATTCATCTTCTTCCTTTAGTTTTACTCCAGAAAATAATCTTTCTGTCCTTTTGGTTTCAGTTCTCATAGTCTTGCAATCTTCTTCTTCCTACACTTAGAAAAGCAGCCCTTCCCTCATGGCCTCAATGGGAAACAAGTTCTAACCTCTGTAACATTCAGGCATGTTCATCTGAAAGCTTTCTCTTCCCCTCTGTGTCTGTGTCTACTTGTTCTATTGATTCAGACTATTCAACCAGTGAGCAGAGACATCTAATTATATTTTCCACTGAAATATTACATGTTATTAATGCTTAGCAAGTAAGAAAAACAATAATGTCTTTATGTTTCCCCTGTTTTTCAGCCCAGGACTTCATATGTAAAAAGAGATCTTAAAAGTATAGCATGGAAGGGTTTGGTCCATTAGACATATATTAGGTTGTGTCCTCCTGTACAAAGGTTCAGGCTTTTAAATGGGACATGAAGCTATTAGCCATTACACGTCTGCTTTGTTTTTTTCCCTCCTACTTCAGCGGACTGGCATGTTAGTCTCTTGGCAAAAGTCATATCAAGAGCTGTTCTTTTCCCAACAATACATCTTGACCACCAGCGATGGCTGTCACTCAGAAATGCACAATTATTTTTTACACTCTCAAATACTTAAGAGCCTCACAGGAGTCCAGACTCCCCTTTCCTTACCCCTTGACCCCACCCTACCTGTAGGTGCTGCCAGCCTCTCTTCTCCAACACAAAGCTTCCAGTCCAGCCAGGCCAGCCTCCCTGGAGATTCCAAGGCTTCTTATTCTAGTAACCTCTAAATTTAACCCATCCACTGAAACCTCGAAAATTCACGTCATCCCCACAAATCTCCCTGGACCATAATAGCTCTCGGTGATGACTCACCCTTTTGAATTTGGAATATGCAAGGATCTAAAAAATTAACAGCACAACATAGCATATACATCAGACAGTCAAATGGGCAGAAGGATGAACACTCTGTTTATATCAAGTTAGATCGGCCTCTTTTTAGGAGCAGAATCTACAGAGCCTGTTCTCGGTAACACACACATAGATACCACACTGAACTATCCACGGCTTTGCCTTTCCAAGGAAGTTTATCAGCCTCTTGGAGGCTCACATAACCCAGAACCGCCTGCAACATCAGACGCTAATAGTGCTGGGCATGCAGGACATACACCAAAGATTCCCACTGATGTGCCCCGTAGGGAGGCTGGGAATATGATCTGCTCAAACCGAGAGTGAAATCATACTCAAGCAATAAATCAGTGAAAGAGCACTGAGAATAACTGTAGCCACATTTTCGATGAACTGACTGGGATTTGGGACCGTAACAGAGCTGGACCCCATGAGACCTTCCCAGAACTGACACCCACCCATGTCCTCCGCCTGCCTCTTTGTCTGTAGGAGAATGTTAGTCAAAGAATAAATTTAGTCAGAGGAGTGAGAAAATGCAGAAAGAAAGGAAAATAGTCAAGCAAGACAAATAATAATACTTTAACCATTAAACAAAGCCAAGGACCTTAAGTTCTTCCTCCAGGACTATAAATAATATTCTGAACCATGTCCTCCGAGCTGTTTTGCAGATACTGAAACCCTCAGCAGGTGGGAGAAGTTAACTGTGTGCTGCCCACAAACACACAGACCCCAGATGGGCTGGAACCAGAAGGCTGACGATGCTGGCTCCCATTACCTCACCACCGACCAATCAGAAGAATGTCCACGTGCTCACCACGCCCTGCTCCTTGAACACTGTAAGACCCCTCACTACCGCACCAGGGTGGGACACACAGTCTTGAGGGCATTAGGCCCCCTTTGCCGGGCAAAGCAATAAAACTATTTCTTTCTACTTCCCCCAAAACTCTGTCTCCGAGATTTAATCCGGCCCCGGTGTACAGTGGTCAAATTTTGGCAACAGGACTCACAGAGACCCACTCTACGTGCAATTTCAGCAGAGGGGGTGTGGGGGGGTGGGAGGGATGAATGGCATGAAAATATCTGTTCTCAGATGGCCTTTGAGATCATCTGATAGGAGCCGTCCTCCTAGAGATGAAGAACGTCTCCTACCGAAGCTGGAAGACCAGAGACCTCACAAAGTGCGCTCAGTCCCAGCTATACCCTTTCCGCACCCGCAGCAGCTCTGCATGTGTATTTCCCCCGAAGCAAGTACCCACCTCTACCTGGAAGCAGGGGATGAACCCTCGCCCAGAGTTCCCATCCCTGGTTAACAGGAACACATTTCATGTTGTTCTGATGCTATGTAACTGGGTTAACTGCAGATCTGTTGTGATTGCTTTCTCTTCTCCCTCTCATCTATGCTACACGCAACAAATCTTAACACATCCTCTAAACAAGTAAGTTATGCCACAGCTGGTACAGTGTGGTAACAGGAAGACTTGAGTTCAAATAACTAAACCCATAACTGAGCAGCTAAGATGTTTTTCCTTAATAAAAAATTTTGTTGTTGTTTTCGATTTTCTGACATTACTTTTCTAGCTCAGGTAACAACAAAGCAGTGTTTGGACAGTGTCACCAGGCTATTTTTGTAAACAAAAGCTCACTGAATGGCTCTGATGTGCACATGCTGTCCCAGAAATTATGGACGATCACATGAATAAAACTCTCTTTCTGGCCTCAAGAATCTAGTAAGATGACTAAAAATGGAACCCAAAAAGTCTAATAAAGGAAGAACATAATAGGAGGCTGTGGAATTTCAGAGCAGGGACAAATTCCCTGATTTTCCTTCACTGGGGAAATGGAATTAATAAAAACCATATGTGTTTACAAAGCAACATCTACAGAATTTAGAAATTCTTAATTTCAAAAGATGGCTATCTTCCGTTTTGATCATTCTTCTGCATTCACACTCCCTTCCTCTTCCACTCAGTTGCCTACTGACAAAAGAACATGCCTTTTCACAACACTTTTTTCACAGAGGCTGATGTTTAAAAGTTTTCTCTGAAGAGCAAGTTTGCTTTGTCTTCATCCAAATATTGAAGCCACGGAGTTAATAATGAGCGATGACGTAATTTTGCACGTTTGCCACACTGTACAGCTTCCGAAGTGTTTTCACAAATGCTACGTCGAGGGGTCTCTCTGGTCACCACAAAACCCTGAGGACAACACATGGTCCGATGAACGCGTCGCTCGGTGTGTGCGTGCATGTGATTATTATTATTTTCCTCGTGCGCGGAGGAATCTGAGGCTCAAGGAGTTTGGTGAGTGACAGTGACAACTGGCAGGTGTCAGACAAAAAGAACATTGCTGGCTAAGCCCTCTAAGCTAAAATTACTTACAAATTATTGCCGTTGAAAGCTCATGTTCTCGCTGGTATATGTTCTCTTGCAAAGCTAACGGCCCTGAGAAGCATCTGGGGGCCCAGGCTCCCCTTTTCTCCACGCGTGCCCCCCCAACATTCCCTCCTCAGAAACTGGTCGACCTCTCTCCTCTCATCCTCTCTTCCCAATAAAAGATCAAAAAGCAGCCATTTGAACTTCCATCCTAAAAAGCCAAAGCCAATGAATGATGTCCTTCAAGAGTATCTGGGCCTTAAAACTTGAGCATCACCCTGTGGGGGGATGTCTTCTTGCTAATAAACGCTTTTGGGGGCAGCAGCCAGAAGGTGGGAGGAATTTGGTGCTGAACCACTGATGCTGCTGTGTTTCCCTCCAGTGATGAAGAAAGGGCCTCTGAGCTTTTCTTCAGGGTCAGAGAAGGAAAGAGAAGCTGGCACTAATGAAACCTGGGCTGTGTCCCTGAAAGGAACTTCAGGGATGAGCAATGACAGATTTAACAAGTAGAGAAAGCCCACTGGGTCCCCAGGGGCTGAGGGACAAAGAACAAAGCAGAATCTGGGGAGCAGCCAGGGGCCTGAGAGTGACATCCCCAGCGCTCTCTCCAGCCCCACGCATGCACATTTGTCCTGGCCTGATCTCAGACTCTCCGGCTCAGGCCCTGTGCTTCTCAAGTTCTGCCCCAGGTCCAGAAAGCAGCACCCTCAGGTCCCACAGCCTTGACCCAGGCTACTCTCGCTTCCATCTGAACACACTTAGTGGGAGAAGCTGTTCTTACCTCGTAGTGGGCCACGCGCTGAGATTCCGATATCAGCTGTGCACTGCACACCTTGCAGTAACTGTCTGTAAATAAATCCTGATCGATATCGGAGGACTTCATCAGGCTAAAAGAGAAGCAAAAGAAGAGAAGCAAGATGAATCCACTGCCTTAGTTTCTAAGCAGGACCCTAAGTGTGTGAAGAAGCCAGGAGCCCGGTACCAGATCCAGTGATGGTGACAGTGGGGGACATCTCCCCAAACCTTTGGGGTGATCATGTCAATTGACCTTAGTAAGCATATAGGTGACCATTTTCTCATAAATGCTCAACAGCGTGGCTGATACCCCGAAAAACTGAAATCCAGCTTTAGTTTTCTTTGTTTGACAAATCAGACCTACGTCTACTGTATTGTCAAGGATTTATGTGAAAAGACATCTTCAAAAATGATTCATATTAGCAAACTATTGTAAGCACCCAATAGAGCCAACAGTAGGCAATAGGTTACATGAAATTCTGATACGGCCACGCACTAGAACACTACATGGCTCCCCAATCCAAACTCCGATCAAATTCTTTAAGAAAATATTTAGTAAAATAGGAAAAAGTTGACCATTAACAACAAAGGTTTACAAATCAGTATGTACAATATTATACTAATTTCTTTTAAAACGTGTATAGGCGTGCAGAAAACCATTCCAGGAAATTTTAACAAAATGTTAATAGCAGTTATCTTTGGGAGATTATAGGTAATCACGTAATTTTCCTTATTTTTACATTTTCTACAATGAACATGGATTGCTTTTGCAGTACATGGAAACAGGTTCGTTTTGTAAAAAGACTTATAAGCAATATCAAATTGACTTTTGAATTCAATAGCTTTACTTAGTTAAAAAGTAAAATCAGACTAAAGCATCACTTTCTGTGCAAGTCTACGCCTCGTAAAGTGAGGAGCCCTCGTGATTCCTGCTGACTTTTCTACATGTAGGGTAGAGGAAATTCATAAAGGCCACTTCCACCGCTCCACACCACAAGTGAGCCCACAGAGGTAAACAAACATATCCTCAAATTCCAAACCCCAAACCGAAATGCAGCCAAAGTTCTCAAGCTTGTGAAAGTGAGCTGACACAGAGGTGTCTTACAGCAGCTGAAATGAAATGTCACCACCCTGGAAACACACACCAGCACATCAGGATGCTTTTCTCTAACCCCAAAATTTGTTTCATCTGACCTCCTACCTGCCAAGCAAAGAGTAAGGACTGTGCCAGAGGCCATGCGTATGAAGAGGCCTGAGAAGCCGAGACAGCAGGGTAGGGTGGGCACCCTGGAGTTCATCCTACTCCAAAACCCTCACCGTACACATGAAACTGTCCAGAGTCACACTGCTGATGTCTGGCATGGCCACAGATACTGCCCAGCTTCCCGGATCCCCATTCCCACTCCAGCCAAGGTCGAGCGCTACCCGCAAGCTGCACGATATGGTAAGTCACTAAACCCTCTAGGTCTCAGTTCTCTCCCTACAGAAGTTGAGAAAACAACATTTTCCAGGCCTCCTTAGAGAACTGTGGGGAATATCAAAAGGAGAAATCTAGAAGAAGGTACTGTATAGACTGTAAAGCTCCTTTTATCTGAATGGGAATCACTATCCCATTTTTACTGACATCCCGATGTTGGTTAAGATATTGGGCAAGTCTTGATTAATGCAACAAGATGAAGGATTGTGGTCCATCTTAAGACATGTAAAAAAATCATCTAAATAGCTGGGTCATGAGAGTAAAGTATCCGCCTGAAATAAAAGGCTGCCTGACTCAACAGCTCCAAGCTCACTTTCTACCTTATCTTTGGCTACCTTGGCCTGTTAGGGCACTTGTATTAAGCAGTTCAAAAGGATTCACAGTTTCTGCTCCCAGGAGACAAGAGTACCTATGGCTTCCAATGCCCTGAGTCCCAACAGTAATGCCAGAGAGTAAGGAGCAGCGATTCTCACAGCTGAAATGGACCTGTTATTTCTGGAAGGATCGTTCTGGGCAGACAGCCCGGTCAACTTGGGGTACAGCACCTGCAGTGCCTGGAGGCTCCCGACCTCACATGGCAGCCTGTTCCAGAGAGCCTGGCAGCTCTAGTATTTAGGTACTTTTTAGGTTGATTCAAAATCTGTCCCCCTATAGATTTCACTCATTGATTCTCTTTGGGAATGACACAGAATACTTCTACTCCCCTTTCTCATGAGATCCCCTCCCTCAAGTATTGAAGATAGCTCTCTTCTATCTATTCCCAACACCTGTCCCGCCTTATCATCTTGGTCTGTGTCTGTCTTTTTATGGACCATCTTCAAAGGCAATGCCAAGAGCAGAATGAAACACTCCCAATATGTCAGCAGAGGATCGCAAATCCAAATGACCCTCCAAAACATCCCCTGTCATTTGCAATGGTCTGTATTCACAGCCCAGAGAGCAAATGGAGAAGAGGTGCTCTGGTGATGTGAAAATGTAGTACAACATTTTGAAATGTCAAATGGGCAAAGAAAACTTGGTAAGGTGTATTTTTGAAGCCAAGCTCCTATAAGTAGTTGTGTTTAAATATTATCATGTTCCCTGCTATTTCTAATAAAGAAAAGCACGAAAATAGATTCACGGGTTAGACCTGGTTAATAGGAATCTCCAAACTCAATGCACACTCCCTCCTCATTATACAACTGACTGCAGAAATCAAACAATGTGAAAGGATATTCAAGGTACGTGTCGGACCAAGCAGGGCCGTAGGAGTCTGAGTCTCGGTAAAGCAGCTGTGCAGCAGAAATAGCTTTAAAGGCAGAATATAAAATGTGTATACTAAAAAAAAAAAAATTCAAAGGAAGAAGAGAATATCCTGGCTTTTTCCACTGTTTTATATAAGAATATTGACTTGAACAAGCCCACATACAGTACAATGGTGATAAAGACCCCTCTGGAATCGACACAGCCCGAGTAGAATACCTGAACGAGTTAAATGCCAGTGGGAGGCTATCAGTGGACAAGTGTCAGCCCGGTTTGTGCATGAGACCTTTACTCCAAGAAAAGAGAACTCTTTCTGTGTAGGTCACTTTAGACAAGCAGAGGGTCTGATTTATGATTCAGAGAGTGGACTTCCCAGGAGGGGAGGCTGCCCCTTGCTTCTCTCCTCCCGCTTGTTTAGAATGGGATTCCCAGCTTCACTGGCCTTCAGAAGTGCAGGAGAGCTGGGAAGAAAAAGGAAAACTGGACTGTCTTTCCTTAACCTTGTCCATGGTGCTGAATCACTGGCTAGAGCTGAGACGGGGCTGGGCCACTGATCCCTTACTGGTCAGTCATACTGTCCATCAGGGCCAATGTGTGGTGACACGCCCCCTCAAACGCTAAAAGCATGCTGATTGTACTGAACTCTGACCAGGCACTGGGGCATTGTGAGGAGGGAGACAAGAGTAAGGGAAGCAGTTTGATGTCCTGAATTTGAAACTGATCTGAAGGAAAGCTTCCTCACTACTCCCCACCCTGGCACATTCCAAAGCAAACACTGAAGACTTGGATAACCTCTCTATCACTCTTCAGTGTTCACAGAGGAAAGGGCTGCCTGTATTGTAGGAATGTAAAGGCCCAGAGTAGAATTGGAGGCAGTATTAGAACAGGAACATGATCAGATTCTCATTGGCTGTCCTAGGTCTCTATACAGCAATAGACCTATTTAAATGTGTAGCGGTGACGGTGTAAGACTCAGAGGTGTAGTTCAGTATAATAAATAAAGAAAATTTGGAGGGGAGAGATTTTGTTCATTCAATAATGGTTATTGAGCATCTATTATATGTGAGGCATCGGGATAAGAGAAGGCACAGATCCTGTCTTCCAAATCTTTATAAGCTGTTGAGTGAGAAGAGAGATACCCACCAAATACAGGCAGCAAGTGTAATTGGCTGGTAAAAAGTGCTACAGGATTTGAAGAGACAAGAGGTATTATAGAAAACTCTTCAAGGAGGTTCTATAAGAGTTGAAATTTAAGGATGGACAAGATTGGAGTGGAGAGAAATGGGTTCCAACTCAGGAGCTAATTCTGTTCCCTGGCACAGGAGAAAATCCTACTATCAGTAGGTATAAGAAGATATATATGGGGCTTCGTTGGTGGCGCAGTGGTTGAGAGTCCGCCTGCCGATGCAGGGGACGCGGGTTCGTGCCCCGGTCCGGGAAGATCCCACATGCCGCGGAGCGGCTGGGCCCGTGAGCCATGGCCGCTGAGCCTGCGCGTCCGGAGCCTGTGCTCCGCAACAGGAGAGGCCACAACAGTGAGAGGCCCGCGTACCGCAAAAAAAAGAAAAAAAGATGTATATGAAGGGCACTGGTGGGCTTATTTGGGGTTATGCAACATGAGGGGAAAAGGCAGCAAAATGCAAGAAAGAGAGGGTCCAGATGGAAGCAGGAGAGCAGTTCCCAACACATTTCTCAAGGTGCAAGGAATGGCGTTTTTCAGGATCTTCAAATGCAGATGTGAAGCCTTCCTTTCTGCTTCTTTCTGCTCCTCAAGAGTAGATTTCAGGAACACTGGCTGAAAATTCAAAGAAACCTGAGGCTTCAAAGCTGAGATTAATATTCTTCATTCCATTCCATTTCTAATAATACTAAAATAGTTTCTGACTTAAAGATCCCCAAACCCATGCAGGACTCTTCAGAGAAAAACAAGACATTAGTTCAAATCCAGGTTTGGTCACTTGTCAACTAGGTTTTTGAGCAAGTTATATATCCTCCTTGAGCCCTGCTTTCCTCATTTGTGAAATGGGGTAAACATTCCCAAAAATGTTTACCGCAAAAAAAAAAAAAAAAGTCTTATTTCTACTGATTCCACTGCCAGCTGATACTCAGGCCTTATGCTCGTGAAGACCCCATACTTCACGAATGTTTAAAATCTATTTTTGTTGTTGGTAGGTGCTAATACTGGCAGATGGAGTAGTTTGACGAGAACTGTGTCCTACCCTCTCTCTTGCCCACGTGTGCTCTTCTCGCTGCGAACTGTTCCCCGGGGGGACGCAAAGGAAAAGCACACTCCACCCAAAGTCTGGGTGTAGACCAGTTCTCTGCACCCCTAGCCACTCACTGTGGTGGCCCTGCGGTGGCCACAGCTG